ATATACAATGGAATGAATGTAAAACTAAAGTTCTCTCATGTAAAATATCATATGATTCACAATAAAACATGAAAAAAATTGTTGTAAATATATATAGCAAGAGAGAGAATGCCGATGTGATGCTGTGGGTTAATGTGCTGGACTGCAAAGTTGATTTGAACCACAAGGTCAGTGGTTCAAGCTCACCACTCACCTCTTGTAAACCCTATACAGGGTCGCTATGGGTTGGAACCAACTCAATGGCACTAAACAACAACAATAGATATATTTATCACAGAATTTTCCAGTTCAACATTTTTCAGGTGTACTGTTCAGTGAATCATGTTGTGCAACCGTTACCCACAATAATTGATTATTTCTTCCATAAATAACCACTCTCATGGGAGAAATGTACAGCGAGAAGTGACCCCAATAATGTTAAATCTAGTTCCCACTCAAGAAGGGACTAAAACATACCTAAAAATTTATGGTTCAGGAGAAAGGTATGATTGAGAAAACTCAAGAAACCTGCCCCATGCATAAACATGGGGCAGTGTCTCAAGGAGTTAAACATCATACATCCCAGTCCAGTTTGAATATTGAAATGCTTTGTGATCTGTGTTGTCACTTAGCTTCAGAGCCAACTCATCTCCAAAATGATTGTAATAATACATACTTAACTTATTCTGCAAAAGACTCTGAGGTAATTAGTATTTGCAAAATATCTAGAGATAAACAGATTATGCTAATAATACTTTTCAATCTCATAATACCTCTTACTCAAGAAACCCCAGCCTTATAAACTGTACCACTAACAACATCCTTTGGTTTTCATGATTGATTCACAGGAAACATGGACAAAAGATAAGGATTTGACCTGGTCACAACAGAACTAATACCAAGGCTGGGAACATGAGTTATGTCTCGTAATTTACCATTGTTCTAAACATGTGCTGATGATCCAAATTACAGTTTTCTGATGGTGGTGGTGGTTGTGTGCCGTTGAGTCAGTTCCAACTCATATTGTACAGGATTTTCAAGGTTGCAAATCTTTACGGGAGCAGAAAGTGTTTCTCTTGTGAAGAGCTAGAAAACTCAAACCACAGACTATGTGTTTAGCAGCCCAACAAGTAACCCACTATGCCACTGGGGCTGCTTCAGTTTTCTGGTAATTATCCTAAAATATTTTTGTTGAAAAATCTCCATACATCCTTTAAATAAATACTCCAACAATTAATGTAGAATGTGCTTCAAAATATTTACTATTCATATACTGAAAAATCTCATTCAGAAAAAAAAAAAAAAAAATCACTGTTTGAAAATTAAGCCTCTTATCACTTAACCAATCAATTTGTACCATTGTAACTGATAGAGCAGGGACCCTGCCTGACATGTTCACTTTATTATAATAATCTAACTAATTAACACTTACAAAATGTGTGTGTCCTTCAGACTGCTTTATAGTCATTCATTATTGGAGATGCTCAGCATTCTTTTGAGACTGTTTGATGATATGATTTTCATTCGCTCCAATAAGGAAATGGACTACAGTCAGACTGAGTGGCTTCCTCAGGGCATGAAGACTAGAAAAACCAAGAGTCAGCTTCCTTATGACCTAGGAAATTATATCATTGGTTTTCTAAGAAGTGATATATTTTATATATTTTATTCTCCACCCATCAACATGAACCTCACTCCTCAAGCGAATTCAAAATACCTTAAAAACGTAAGTTTAAACTAAAAGTTCAACAATATTTTTGATATAAAGAAGCAAGTAATTTAGAGATTCGGAAGTTACATGAACAGACATTCTGCTCCTGCACTAAACCAAGAAAGTGCAACACAATAGTTCTCTATGTACATCATCTATATATTGATTCTGGTGAAAAGCAAGGCACTGCAGAGTTCCTATTATTTCAGTTTTCAGTTTAAAAATCAATTAAAGAGTTCCCACTACTGAAGGATCACTAAATCTTGAATGTTTGATTTTAGCATAAAAGGAAACACTTAATAAAATGGAAATAATAGAAATACTCCAAAAGTATTTACAGGACAAAACTAGTAGACATTTGTTATTTGAATTATTAATTCTTTGCTATGTAGAGCGAAAAACTATAATCTCTTCCAGAGCTTAAAAAGGTGTGCATTTAAAGCTGAACAGATGTGGGATGGCATATGAGAATTCACCCAAGAGTATATGAGAGATTTGACAAATATATATATATGTGTGTGTGTGTGTGTATCTATATTGTTGTTAAGTGACTTCTAGTTGGTTCCAACACATAGCAACCTTGTATAGGGTTTCCAAGGAGTGGCTGGTGACCTTGAACCACTGACCTTGCAGTTCAAATGACTTTGCAGTCCAGTACATTCATACATATTTATTTGTATGTGCTGCAAATAGATGCATGTGTATAGAAGAGCATACAGGAGGCAAAGTTATGAAAACTTCTTAGCCATAGGAAAAAAAAAAAAAAAGAAGAAGAATTTTGAAGGCCTGAGGCACTCTGCTTGGGAACTTGAGACCACAGTCTTGGGGGACTTTTAGTTCAATGGGCATAATATAGTCCACAAAGACCATGTTCTACAGCCTTGTTTGCTGAGTAGCAACTGGGGTCTTAAAAAAGCTTGCAAGCAGCCATTTAAGATGCAACTATTGGTTTCTATCTGTCCAGAGTAAAGAAGAATGAGAAAAATTTAAAAATTGAGGAAAATAATTAGTACAAAGGCCAAATGGATGACACATAGTCGAGTAGCAACCCTGTATAGGGTCTCCAAGGCTGTAAAGCTTTATAGGAACAGACGATTCCATGACCATCAAGAAGGAAGAGCCTGAGTGGAGTCTGAGGACTCTACTTAGAATAATCGGTGATAGCAGCGGTGGTATCGTGGAGAGACAGAGCAGCTTTGGGCTCTAGGCCCATGGACTAAGTAAAGCTGAGTGCCTACCACAGGAGACTGGCTTGTAGAAAGTAGCCTCTGGGCATTCACAGACTGGCTAAAAGAGTTTTGTAACACTTGCCTGAACAGGGCAGAGGCCAAGCGGCCATGAGGCTGAGAGGCAAAAGAGACAAGAGTGAGGCAGGCCTGACTGGGCAACTGCTGCATTTTGAGTTAGTTTTGATCTTGAATTGTACCTGATTCACTTCCCTAATAAACCCCATAAATTGACCTCCTGGCTCTCTGGGATGGGAGTCACGGCATAAATCAGCAAATCTAGGATGAACGAGTCAAGGAAGAAATCCCACTAGAGAAGCTCTATGAAACTCTGTCTGGAATTGAGCTTTGGCAAAAAGAAGAAGATGCATATTTCTATTTATCAAAGTCACTTTTTAAAAAAACTGTCAAGAACTCAGTTCATAGCAAATCACTTCTCCAACTATTGGCCTTAAACAATTTCCAGGCAGATGATTCTGACACAGGATCAGGTTGAAATTTGCATGATCCATAAATTTAAATATGATTGGTTTTGTGTATGGGGATTGGATATGAATGGCTTAAATCTTGGTGGTGGTGGTGGTGGTGATGTGCCGTGGAGCCGGTTCCGACTCATAGCGACCCTGTACAGGGTTTCTGAGGCTGTAAATCTTTACGGGAGCAGAAAGCCTCTTCTTTCTCCCGTGGAACAGCTGATAGTTTTGAAATGCTGACCTTGCAGTTTGCAGCCCAATTCGTAACCACTACGCTACTTAGAATTTGATGAATCAGAACCCTTGAACATGAGATTCATGATTCTTCTTTGATTAACTTATTTGTTTCTTAAAGAAATAATACATGAAGAAAAAAATCTTTCTGGAGCAGAAGGTCTCATTTTTCTCCCTCAGTGTGGCTCGTGGATTTGAACTGCTGACCTTGAGATTAATAGTCCAACTCATAACCCACTATGCCACCAGAGCTCATTCACAGTCAAACAATAGACTGGCCTATAAAGTGAACAAGCAAGACTTGGGAGGAACATACTCCTCAGAACAATCAACCATACATGATCCAAAGGGCAGCATTTGCCTAAATACAAAGTTCAGAAGACAGGAAGGGTCAGGTAAGAAGGACAAATGGAAACGGAGAGTCCAGTGGGAAGGTGGGAAGAGTGCTGCTACATTGACAGGGATTGCAACCAATGTCGTGAAACAAAATGTGTGTGAATGGGTGACTGGGGAACTAATGTGCTCCATACACTTATGTCCGAGCCACAATAAAATGCTTAAGAGAGAGAGATGTCTTTACTCATCTTTAATATTGACTTCTGAGACTATGATTTAGTATCACTCCACCTGGCACCTTTTTAATATGTAAAGTTATCCTTGGGGCACCTTTCCACCTACAGACTGATACAATTAAAATCACCCAATTATGAAAAACAACAATTAAAGTACAAGTAATATTTTATTACAGATTGGCATAGCTAAGACTGCAGTGGCCTCCTGAGTCCTATAAAAGGCCAGATGGAGCTAACCTCAAAAGTGGACGGTGTACTTTGCCTTTGCTCCTCTCTGGGAAAGGGTCGCTCACCTGTCCTATCGCCATGTCTTTTCGACTTTCTACTGGATCCAGGCGGATCTGCTCCCGAGCTGGCTCTGTTAGGCTCTCAGGTGGAGGACCAGGCTTTGCAAGTGGAAATGTGTGTGGTGGGATTTCTCTTGGGGGCATTTCTTCTGGAGGAGGCTTCTGTAATGGTGGTGCAGGGTTGGGAAGCGGGGGCTACACTGGGATTCTTGGAAATGAGCATGGCCTCCTCTCTGGAAATGAAAAGGTAACCATGCAGAACCTCAACGACCGCCTGGCGTCCTACCTGGACCATGTGCGAGCTCTGGAGGAAGCAAATGCTGATCTAGAGAAGAAGATCAAGGATTGGTATGAGAAATATGGTCCTGGAGCTTGCCGGGGACTTGACCATGACTATGGCAGATATTTCTCAGTCATTGAAGATCTTAAAGGGCAGGTAAGAGATAGGGACTTATGCATTTATATAAGGCATACTTAGCACTTATATGTTGTGGCGCTGTGGGTTAATGCGCCAGACTGCAAAGCCATTACTGTTTCTGCATTTGGCTTATACCTTTTAATTAAAAATAATGGAAGTGTAACTGTAAAAGCTTACATTTTAGCTCTTGAATGCTGGACATTCATTATATGAAGAAAATTCAGATTCCTTTAATTTAGAGAAAAGATACAAAGATAAGATTCTCATGGGGTTAAGAAAATGTAGAATCACACTGAAATCCTGAGGTTCCTTTTACTTTTGGTACTTACGTTTTGCACAATATTCCCTATTTAGATTATTTCTATGACTACTTGCAACGCTCGTGTTGTTCTGCAGAATGACAACGCCAGACTGACCGCTGACGACTTCAGGCTGAAGTAGGTGGAAATAAAATAATTCATTATAATAAAGGTAGACTGCTGCCGTTGGGTATAATAGTATCTGTTGCTTTTTAAACCAAAATGAATGTTCTTATGAATCCAACTAGATCAATCAATTGAATTAAATACGCCCTTAGGAATAGAGCTATCATACATTTTAGGAGTTCTTGGGTGGTGTGAGCACTTTAAGTACTCACCACCTAGCCAGAAGCTCAGTAGCCTGAACCCTCACAGAGGCACGTCCAAAGGCAGGCCTGGACATCTGTTTCTGAAAAGTGACAGCGTTGGAAACCCTGTGGGGCAGTTCTACTCTGCACACATGGGGTCACCACGAGTCAGAACTGACTTAACAGCCACTATCAACAAAATTCATCAACTGTAAACATCTGATGTGGTGCTCTAGGATAAGCACTCGACCACAAAGTTGACTTGAACCTCAAGGTCAGTGGTTCAAATTCACCACCTGCTCCTCAGAAACCCTACACAGACTTGATGGCATTTAACAACAATAGCAGCTGTCTGGGACAAGTTAGACTCAAGATGCCTATTTATACCTCCAAGTGGAGATGTCGGTAGCCAGCTGGGTATATAAGTCTGGAGGTATAAATTAATTAGGGAGTCATCATTAGGTAGTGCTGTAGGATCAGCACCGAACTTAGAACCACAAGGTGAGCAGTTCAAACCCACCAGCTGCTCCTCGGAAATCCTATACTGAATTATTATGAGCCAGAAGTGACTCAACAGCACTTAACAACACCACCACCTTATTTTTATTCAACTGTGAAGTACATTGGATGACAAAACGTAAACTCTGAAGAAACAACTCCTCCCAAAAATGATTTTACAAATCAGCAGATAGCTTAAACCGTTTTCATTGTGTGTCATTACAAAAAGTCTCAGAAATATGTACGGGACATCATATTTCTTGTTATGAAAAATATCTTTTGAAATTATGCCTTGCACTTGCTTATTAAATTCTCAATCACTTTAATGACCTTTAAGGTATGAGAATGAGCTGGCTCTACACCAGAGCGTTGAAGCTGACATCAACGGTCTTCGCAGAGTGCTGGATGAGCTGACCCTTTGTACAACAGACCTGGAAATACAGTGTGAAACACTCAGCGAGGAATTAGCATTCCTCAAAAACAACCATGAGGAGGTAAGGAACCCAGCAATCAGCTTCGTACAGAATCAGACTTCCTCCTTCAAGTACACAGCTTAATAGCGCTCGATCAGAATTCCAGCTTGAGTATTTATACCAATCTCTTTTCCAGGAAATGAAAGTCCTTCAGTGTACAGCAGGAGGGAACGTGAACGTGGAGATGAATGCAGCCCCAGGAGTGGATCTGACTGTCCTATTGGACAATATGAGGGCCGAGTATGAGGACTTGGCTGAGCAGAACCGCAAAGACGCCGAAGTCTGGTTTAATGAGAAGGTACATCTATGACAGATTACATAGTAAGGGCTTGTTCAGTGGATGACCAAGCTGGGCACTAAACCTCTGGTAATTACATTTCAGAGTGCATTCCTGCAACAACAGATTTCTGATGACCAGGGAGCCGTCACAGCAGCAAGAAACGAGCTGACAGAACTGAAACGCAATCTCCAAACTCTGGAAATAGAGCTTCAGTCCCTCATGGCTGTGGTATGTGTGTGTAACCATAGAGAACCAAATATAGCTATAGTAAATATCCTGTTGTGCTATTGCACAATAAGCACTGGGCTGCTAACTGCAAGGTTGGCAGTTCAAATCCACCAGCCGCTCTTTCGAAACCCTATACAACATCTTTCTGGTATTCTGTGCTTTCAGCCAAGATCCATCTGACGTCAACAGTGATATCCCTCATTCCACATCCTCATCTAAATCTGAGATTAACTAAATATATTCAACATGTAGATATATTAAATATCAAGAATCCTGCTCATACACATATTATTTTTAACTCACCAATCCCAAAACTTGAAAAAAGATTTTTTTTTTTTCAAATGAGGAGAAATGCCTTTTTAAAAATCTTGTTGGTATTGATTTTTTTCCCAATGGAAAACATTTAGCACTTACACAAATATTTATTCTCACCTTGAAAATGTTTGAAATATAAACATGTTTTGTTTGTTTTTAAACACATTCAAGACTACTTTCTTTTTCTTCTAGAAACATTCTTACGAATGCTCCTTGGCCGAGACTGAAGGAAATTACTGCGTTCAACTTCAGCAAATCCAGGATCAGATCGGGCCACTGGAAGAGCAAATGCAACAGATTCGAACAGAAATAGAAGGCCAGAAGCTGGAGCATGAGCAGCTTCTAGATATCAAAATTGTCTTAGAAAAAGAAATCGAAACTTACTGCAGCTTAATAGATGGAGAAGAAAGGTAAATATCCACTCTTGAAAAGAATCTCCTATCAAAGTCATTTTCTCAGTATAGCAATATTGCATCCTAGAAGTGCCTATTCTCAAGATTATACCTCAAGAAGGCATTAACGTTTATTACTGCATCCATGTGGAATAAAAACAGGCCATAAATCACATTTTAAAATAGAACTTATATCTATGAAAATAAGGAGTATTTAAATATAGAATATTGAACAATTCCAATATTTCAATCCAGAGGAAAGTCTGCTTTCTTGGCTTTAGTGTGGAATCATACTTCTTATAATAATATATTTTATTTGTCATTTCTTCACTATCTATCCCACATATACCCTCTATTGAGTGAGATATTCCATTTTCATTTATAAGATGCACAATGAAGAAATAGGACAATTTAACAGCAAAGACACCATAGCTTGTTAGCTAAAAGCTATAGCCTTGGATTTGCAGCCCTGATTCAAATCATGCCTGCTGGGTGAATCTAAGCACATTGTCTAACCTCTTTAAACTTCAATTTCCCCATTGATAAAATTGCAATATTATCAAAATCACACTCTTAACTACTTTTTTTTAAAGTCATTTTGTATGTGTGTGTGTGTGTGTATGTATATATGTGCTATAAATACTGATTAGTTCAAGTGAGTTGATAGTGTTGGTTGAAGTCTTCTACATTACTATTTTTTTCTCTTTTTTTGTGTGCCCCCCACGTGTTGGTTTTCTGGTTGGTTTTGTTTCATTTTTGGTGGGATAGTAGGAGTTAGGGTTAGGACTATGGTTAAGTCTAGACTAAGACTTTGTTGTTGTAGTTAACTGCCATCAAGTCAGTTCTGACTCAGCGACCCTGTATAGGGTTTCTGAGGAGTGGCTGGTGAGTTTGAACTGCTGACCTTGACCTTATGGTTTAAGCCAACTTGCAATCCCATAGTGCCACACTGAAACTGCAGACAAAGCTTTGTTGTTGTTGTATTGTTAAGTGTCGTTGAGTCAGTTCCAACTCATAGCAACCCTGTATAGCGTTTCTGAGGAACAGTTGGGAAGCTTGAACTGCCAACCATGCAGTCCAAACCAACCTTGCAGTCCAGCGCATTAACTCGCAGCACCACACCAGGACTCCAGACGAAGTCTACGAACTTTGTTTAGTGTTAAGGTTGTGGCTAGGGGTAGGATAAGTGTTCGGTGTAAGGGTTGGGCTAGGTCTAGGCATAAGGCTTGGTCTAGTTTTGGGGGTTTCTTGGATCAACTATCAACACTCACGGAAGCAGCAGTCAAGAGATCAGACGACATATTGCAGTGGGAAAATCTGCTGCACAGGAACTTTTTAAAGTATTGAAGAGCAGAGATGTCAGCTTGAGGACTAAGGTGCTCCTGACCCAGGCCATTGTGTTTTCAATAGCCTCATATGGATGCGAAAGCTGGACAGTGAATAAGGAAGATCGTAGAAGAATTGATGCCTTTGAGTTGTGGTGTTGGAGGAGAATACTGAAAGTGCCATGGACTGCCAAAAGAACCAATAGATCTGTTTTGGAAGAAGTACAACCAGAGTGCTTCTTGGAGGTCAAGATGGCTAAGCTTCGTCTCTCCTACTTTGGACACATTGTCCGGAGAGAACAGTCACTGGAGAAGGATGTCATGCTGGGTAAGGTGGAGGGTCAGAGAAAAAGAGGAAGACCCCCAACGAGATGGATCAGCCAGGTGGCATCATTGATGGCGTCAAGTGTGGCAGCGGTAGTGAGGTTGGCCTAGGATCAGACATTGTTTCGTTCTGCTGTGCACGGGGTCGCTATGAGTCGGTTCCGACTCGATGGCACCTGACAACAACAACAACAACAGTTTTGGGGGTTACAGTTAGACTTGTTCTTAATCATTTTTCCTGAAATCGACTTGAGTTCCTCTGCATCAGGAAGTTCTGTAACTCCATTAGTCCCTCCTTTTACTTCACTGCTTTTGTTGTTACCACGGTATCTCTGGTACTCGATGTTCAGTTTTATTTGGGTTGGGAATCCTGATGGTGAAGTGGGTTGTGAATTGGGCTGTTCACTGCAAGATCAACAGTTCAAATCCAACAAGTTCATGTCAGGAGAAAGACTAGGCTTCTGCTCCCTAAAAACTGACAGCATTGGAAACCCTGCAGAGTCACCATGAGTCAGAACCGACTTTCCACTGCACATAACAATATATGGGTTGAGTTCCAGGAGATACTGTCAAGTATATTAGTTTCAGGCTCTTGTCTACTGCTCAAAGAATTCCCTTTAGTATTTTTTGTAAGGTTGGTCTGGTTTTTACAATTTTTTTTTTTTTTAAATTGGTTACTCTGAAAATAACCTAATTTCTCCATCATATGTGATGGGCAGTTTTATTGTATATACGATTCTTGGCTGACAAGTTGTGTTTTTTTTTCTTTCAGTGTTTTATATATGTCATTCCATTGATTTCTTGCCTATGTGGTTTCTGCTAAGCAATCAGAGCTTAGTCTTATTTGTTCGCCTTGGTGGGTAACTTTTCATATGTGGCTTGCACACAGAAGTACTCAGTAACTGGGGCTATATTGAAATGCTTATTCAGCAGATGCTTATTGCAGCATCTCAAGCATCTTTCAAGGCCAGATCAGCCCTCTGCAGCCTGTTCTCATTAGAATAGAACTCAAAACAAAGTGCTTATTCTCCACTTGTCACTTTATAATACTTCATAAATAACTTTTATTATATATATATATATATATATATATATATATATAGCACATTTTATAATACTTTATAAATAACTTTTTATATACAGATGCTTTATTTTATCATCAACTTTTTATATACAGATGCTTTATTTTCTCATCCACAGCACCAATTGTTTATGTTGTACTTGCACATTCTCTACAACACAAAGCCCAGGGCCTACAACACAGCATGCACCCCAAGCATATCCACAGGTCATTTCAGTGATGAAAACGTCAGAATGAGAACTTCAAGTTCCCCTATTACTAAATGAAAGAGATCATATCTATCCACAAAAAGAATTTCAGATTATCAGCATTCATTTATTCTCTTCTCTCATTATGTTGAAGTCACAAAATGTTCACTAATGTTCCTCAAACATAAAAAGAAAGTAAACGTTTTTGAAACGACACTCCAAAGCCATTGTTATCAGTTCCTGGTTATTTTTTTAACTCCCTAGTGGAATAAATAAATATATATATATAATTTGTTCTTTTCTTCACAGAGAAGGCAAATCCACACGTTACAAATCAATAGGATGTGTGCCTGTAAACCCTGGCAATCAAGTGAAAGGTATGGTGGTGGTGGTGGTGGTGGTGTGCTGTAGAGTCAGTTCCGACTTGTAGTCACCCTGCATAGGGTTTCCAAGGCTGTAAAACTTCACGAGAGCAGAAAGCTCATCTTTCTCCCATGGAGTGGTTGGTAGTTTTGAACTGCTAACCTCCAGGTTAGCAGACCGATTCATAACTACTATGCTATCAGACCTCCTTAGAGAAAGTCAGAGAAGGTGTTTTATTTGGTGTAGCTCTTAAATCCCAATAATAATAGTCATTAAGTCACTTATTTATAAACTCTATATAATCTTTGTGTTTAGCTCTACTGAATGAAGGGATAACAGGTCTTTATGACAATTGTGAATGTTTTAATTTTATTTTCCTATAGATCAGGTGTGGTCAATTTACTTAATTGCTAAAATGACGAATCAGTCTCCCAACATCTTATTTATAACCTATTATTTTCACAATTTCAAGGCTTTGGTATAAGAACATTTTATTGTATATTTTTATTATTCAAACTATGAAAGTAGAAAAAGTTGGTATTTAAAAGAAGACAGACTTACTTAATCTAATTGTGCCTGCCCAATACTTATGTGATTTTAATCCATTTCATTTACACTGTCAAACACCCATTTACTTTAGAAGCCATGGTAAATATAAGGAAGATAAATATAAGGCACCGAATTATGTGCCAATTTACAGCAAAATTGCAAAAGCCATTGTTAGAAAGCATGCCAGTCCTGACTGAATAAATATCTTTCAGCCCGTTGAGAATGAGTAGTAAGCTTTCATTTATTTTATTTTAGACTCAACAGAAGAAATTGTTGTCAAAACAGTGCTTGAAGAACTAGATCAACTTGGTAATGTCCTTTCAGTAAGGGTCCACTCAGTTGAAGAAAAATCCTCGAAAATGAGCAACATTACAATGGAGCAACGAGTACCATCTAAAACACCGTAACTGGGCCACTTATTTTAACACAACAACAAAAACCCACCTACATAAACTCCCACTGGCCAAATTATCCAAGGAAACCATTATTTATGGTCTTGAAAATAAAGGGCTAGGATTTGCTTTCCTTCTCTTCCTGTTCTCATGCTCGTTGCATGTAATCTTCTTCAGGAGAAGGGAAAAAAAATCTCATTCTGTCCCTAGTTTTGGTTTTTATTCTGAGTCTCTTTGTCATTTCATTAAAAGTTCTTCTCCTGCAATGATGATAAATCTAGTGATTGTGTGTTTCCATAGTTGATTCCAGTGTGTTCACACCAGGCCTGTATCTGTCTTTGGCCAGTTTACTTCACCGTTTCATTATTCCCTCACTCGGACTGGTAGAGTCACCCAGAGGATCTACCTCCCAAGACGTGAAAGACCACAGCAGAACCCTGAGCTCTCTCAATAGACTTGGTTAATTCACCATCTTTTTTTTAAAAAAAATTGTTTTTTAACTTTTTATTGTGAATTGAGTGAAGGTTTATGGAGACAATCATCAGTTTTATATTCAACAAATCATACACTTTGTTTCACCTCAATGATTGCAATCTCTTCCATACAACAATGGTTATTCTGCTTCCTCTTAATTCACCATCTTGCAAAACAGTATTGTTGGAGGCTTTGTCTCTTGTGGCCATTAGTACTGGCCAATCCTGCTTGTTCCCAATAGAATTCTTAGTCTTTTCAGGCACAATTCAGTTTTCTATCTCTACCCTTTCCTACTTAAACAGATATTTTTAGATCTGTCAGGAAGTCTTGGTGTAGTGCTGTGAAATAATGCGCTGTGAAATAATGTACTGGACCGCAAGGTCGGTTTGAACTGCAAGGTCAACGGATCAAACTCACCAGCCTTTCCTCGGAAACCCTACACAGGAACCTACTCAGTGTCACTTAACAACAACAACAACAACAATCTGCATAAGTAAATAAATAAATGTGAAGAAAGGTGAGACTTTCTGCTCCCATAAAGATTTACAGCCTTGGAAACCCTATACAGGGTGGCTATAAGTCAGAACCGACGCCACAGCATTCAGCCAACAGTCTACGTAAAAGAGATTTATACTTAATATAAACCTAAATTGTGACTTCAAAAAGCCTGCATCTCAGTTTTCAATAGTTACAGCCTTTCTGAAGCAGGTCACCAGGATATTCTTCTGAGGAGCCTCTGGGTAAATTCAAACCACCAGCTTTTCAGTTAGCAGCTGCTTCCCTAATTGTCTGCACCACTCAGGGACTCCTGGCTGACTACGTGCTGAAACAGAAGATTTAAGTATGTTCAAGAGTCTCTGAACATCATAGCCAAAATATTCAGGACATAAAAAATTATGCATCACAGCAAGAACCAGAAATCCCATCATTTGAATGTGAAAAGCTAATCAGTAGATTCTATTAGCAAGATGAATCAGATGTAGAAACTATCAGACAAGGATTTTAAAGAGGCTTCAGTAATAAATTGCACATTTTCTTCAAAACAAAAAATTTAAATCTCTGCAAAAAAATGAAAGTTATAAAAAATGGAAACTATAGAACTGAAAAATATAATAGCCAAAATTTAAAAATCTCTTTGAAGGGCTAAATGTTATTGTTGTTAAGTGCAGTGAAGTCAGTTCTGACTCATAGCGACTCTGTATAGGGTTTCTGAGGAGCAGTTGGTGGGTTTGAACCACCGACTGTGGTTTGCAGTCCAGTGCTGATCCTCCAGCGCCACACCAGAAGTCCAACAGGCCTCATGGTGGAGTGGAAATCACAGATGATAAAGTTAGGGAACTTGAAATTAAAAATACAATATCATCTATAATCACTGGAAAGAAAATAAAATCCTTAGATAAAGACCTAACAAAATATAGTTATTTGTATGATGAGACTGCTTACATGCTGATGAAAGAAATCAAAGAAAACCTAGATATTTGGGAAGACATATTATGTTTATTAACAAAATAATTCAAGATATTAAAGAAGTCAGTTATCCTTAAACAGTGCTGTGTTGTTACGTGCTGTTGAGTCGGTTCTGACTCATAGCAACCCTGTGTAGGGTTTCTGAGGAGCAACTGATGGGTTTGAACTGCCAAAAAAGGTTTAGCAAAATTCCTATCAAAATCTCAGTAACGAGGTGGCCATGTGCTTTCATAAACAGAATAATTATGAAATTTATATTTTAAATGGAAAGGATCTAGAATAGCCCAAACACTTTTGAAAAAGAAGAATTAGTGATAGGAATCATTCTTCCCAATATTATATTTTATGAAATAGCTATGGCGTCCTGGTATGGCACTAATGGGTTAATGCACTGGACTGCAGCAGGGTCAGTTTGGAACCACAAGGTTGGCGGTTCAAGCTCACCAGCCACTCCTCAGAAGCCCTATGCAGGGTCGCTATGAGTTGGAACCAACCTGACGACACTTAACAACAACATAGTTAGACGTAGAAATCACAACAGTGTGGAACTGGCAGGTAGACACATAAGTCAATGGAACTGAATAGAGAACCCAGAAATAGATGCACACAAATATGCCCGATTAATTTTTTATGAAAGATAAAAAACAATACAATGCAAGAAGTATAACCTTTTCAATAAATTACCTTGAAGTAAATGGATACCTAGTATCAAAAAAATGAACCTAGATCTCACATCTTATACAAAAGACAATCCAAAACGGATCACAGGCCTAAATGTAAAACGATGAAGCATAGGATAAAATCTTCATGATTTAGGATTAGGCAAGAAGTTCTTAGACTTTGCACCAAAAGCATGAACCATAAAAGGAAAAACTAATAAATGAGACCTAAGGACATAAACAGGAGCTCTGGTAGCATAGTGGTTATGAATCAGGCTGTGAACCACAAGGTCAGCAGTTCGAAACTACCAGCTGTTCCGCGGGAGAAAGATGAGGCTTTCTGCTCCTGTAAAGATTTACAGCCTCAGAAACCCTGTACAGGGTCGCTTTGAGTCAGAACCGACTCCACATCACATAACAACAACAACAAGGATATAAACAGATAAATAAGCAGGCAGATAAGTAGAACATAGATAGATAGATAGATAGATAGATAGATAGATAGATAGATAGATAGATAGATAGATAGACAGACAGACATATCTCTATACATTTTGGTTCACTGACATATAAACACATGTATACATAGGTCATCCCAAACTTATGACATATTTGAGTTAGGAGAAATCACATACCACTGTCTATTTTTGTTTTTTGTTGTGCATCTTATTGTAAAGGACTCCTGGTGTGGCGCTGTACGGCGGTAAGCACTGGACTGCGAACTACAAGGTCGGCAGTTCAAACCCACCAACTGTTCCTCAGAAACTCTATATAGGGTCTCTGTGAGTCAGAACTGACAGCACTTAACAAGAACATTGTTAGTAAAAGAGCCCTGGGGGTGCTGTGCTCAAATCACTTGGCTGCCCACCAACAGGTCAGAGGTTAAATCTACCAGCCACTCTGAGGGAGAACAAGGTGGCCATGTGCTTTCATAAAGATTTATGGCCCTACCCAGAAATCCCTCTACTAGCTATATATCCCTAGGAAATTAGAGCCAGGACACAAATACACACGTGCACACTGATGTTCATTGGAGCATTTATTCACAATAGTAAAAAGATGGCGACAACCCTAATGTCCATCAATGGAAGAATGGATAAACAGACTTTGGTGCAGTCACACAATGGAATTTTATGCTACAGTGAATATTAATGACAAAACTGTGAAACACCTCATAACATGGATGAATGTGTTGGACATTTGTTGTTGTTGTTAGGTGCCATCGAGTCGGTACCGACCCATAGTGACCTTATGCACAGCAGAACGAAGCACTGCCCATTCCTGACCCAACCTCATTACTATTGCCACGCTTGAGTCCATCGATGCTGCCACTTGGCCAATCCATCTCACTGGGGGTCTTCCTCTTTTTCTCTGACCCTCCACCTTACCAAACATGATATCCTTCTCCAGTGACTGGTCCCTCCTGACAATATGTCTGAAGTATGAGAGACGAAGTTTGGCCATCTTGGCCTCCAAGGAGCACTCTGACTGCACCTCTTCAAAATGGATCTATTGGTTCTTTTGGCAGCCCATGGTACTTTCAATATTTTTCTCCAACACCATAACTCAAAAGCATCAATTCTTCTACGGTCTTCCTTACTCACTGTCCAGCTTTCGCATGCATATGAGGTTATTGAAACTACCATGGCTTGGGTCAGGCGCACCTTAGTCCTCAAGCTCACATCTTTGCTCTTCAACACTTTAAAAAGGTCTTGTGCAGCAGATTTGCCTAATGCAATATGTCGTTTGATTTCTTGACTGTTGCTTCCGTGAGTGTTGAAAGTTGATCCAAGAAGAATGAAGTCCTTGACAACTTCATTGTGGAGGACATTTTGCAGAGTGAAATTAGTCAATAGCAAAAGGACAAATATTGTATTGTAAAAAGTCAAGAAAATGTTTTTATGCTGAAAGAAACATTATTTGATGGTTACCAAGGGTGGGAGGGAAGGGGAGAACAATTCACAACTTGTTGTTGTTGTTAGTTGCCGTAGAGTCAATTCCAATTCATAAGGACCCTGTGCCTAACAGAACAAAACACTCCCCGTCCTGTGCCATCCTCACAATTGTTGTTAAGCCTGAGCCCCTTGCTGCTGCCACTGTACCAATCCATCTTACTGGGGGCGGTGGGGAGGGGTCTTCCTCTTTTTAGCTGACCTTCCACTTTACCATGTCCTTCTCGAGGGATTTGTCCCTCCTGATATATTCAAACTGTGAGGAATGAAGTTTCGCCATTCCAGCTTCTAAGGAGCACTCTGGCTGTACTTCTTCCAACACAGATTTGTTTGTTCTTTTGGCAGTCCATGGTCCTTTTCATATTCTTCTCCAACACCATAATTCACATGCATCAAGTCTTCTATGGTCTTCTTTATTCATTGTCCAATTTTCACATACATATGAGGCTACTTAAAGTACCACGGCTTGTGTCATATCCACGTTTGTTCTCAAACTGACATCTTTGTTCTTGAACGCTTTAAAAGAGTCCTGGGCAGCACAGTTCCCTAGTGCAATACATCCTGTGACTTCCTGACTGCTTCCACTAGTAAGGTATATTCACGATGGAACGGTCAATCATACCAAATTAAACTGGCAACATTCCCCTAAGGACAAAGTTGAGAAGACATGGGAAGGCGGATGGGATGAAAATAGGAACGACAGAGAGGAAGCAGGATAACTGTTGTTACAGGGAGGGGGTTGCAATCATTGTGATGATACAAAGTGTATGATTTGTGGAATATAGAACTGATGATCTTGTCTGTAAACCTTCACTCAATTCACAATAAATAAGTTCGTTTGTTTGTTTGTTTTCATCACAGTCTTGGGAACCCTGTGGGGCAGTTTCACTTTGTCTTAAATGGTCACTACAAGTTAGAATTGATTCAGCAGCAGTGGGTTAGGTTTGGTTTATTGTTAGTAACATCCACTACATAAACCCACCCACCCATTGCCTTTAACATATGTAAAAATGATCGTTCCATATCAATAATCTAATTACAGCCCAACACCACAAAGTTCATTCTCGGTTTTCTCTCTTTCTATCTGTAACTCCTCTCTCTGACGAGAGACTTGGCTCTCATTATCTTTAATACAGCTACTTATGTGTCCTTCTTGTACAAGGGTAACTGATCTCCAATTGCTACCTCTCTCTGTGCACACACCCTCCCTGTCACTCACAGGCTTTGACCTTCCTCTTCCCACCATAGACACACACAAGCATTCTCATCCTGTTCAATCTTCAGCATCTCTTTCTAAGATACTGCAGCTCCTAACTCCCTACCTAGTCTAAACACCTACCTTTCTTAGCCCTATTTAATGACTTGTGCACTGGATAGTTCAAGAAGCAAAGAGGCAAATAAGAGAATGAAAGAGGCAAATAAGAGAATGATAGAAAGAAAAGGTCATGTTTAGATCATCACTGTAACTCAAGCACTCAGTTGAGTTAATGTAAGTCCAATGGGTGCAGGACCCTTGTCTGATCCATTGCTGTCTCCTAAATGCCCAAGATAATGCCTGGTACACAAAAGACCCAAGCTGTCCAGGACAGAGGAGAACTGTCCCATAAGGTTTCCAAAGTTGCGAATCTTTACAGAAACAGACTTCCACACCTTTCTCCCATGGAGTGGCTGGTGAGCTCAAATAGCCGACCTTTTGGTTAGCAGTCACATTAACACTACATCAATCACCAGAGTTCCTCAACTGGCACACCACCACCACCAGCCACTCTCACTGACTTGATTCTGACTTACAGCCACCCTTAAGACAGAGTGGTGCTACAAGATCAACACTGAACTATGAACCACAAGGTCGGCAGTTCAAATCCACCAGCTGCTCCTCAGAAACCCTGTACAAAGTCATTATAAGTCGCAACCGACTCAATGGCACTTAACAGCAAGACAGAGGAAGGAAGCCTGGTGGTGCAGTGGGTTCAATGCTGAGCTGCTAATCAAAAGGTCATTGGTTCAGACACACTGAGAGACAAAGATGACACCGTCTGCCGACATAAAGATTTGCAGTCTTCGAAACCCTATGTGGAGTCTCTGTGAATTGGAATCTATTCCATGGCCATGGTTTGGTTTCTTGGTAAAACTGCTCCATGTGGTTTCTGAGACTTAAAATCTCTACAGGTACAGACAACCTCAGCTTTCCCCTGCAGAGGGGCTGGTGGGTTCAAACCACCAACCTTCCAATTAACAGCCAAATGCTTAACCCACTGCATCACCAGTGCTTCTTGACTGACTCACAGTAGGTGTTTTATAAATATTTGTTCAGTATGTAAATGAATGAATCTGTTCACAGTAGCCTCACATATGGAATAAACATAGAAATTTTGACATGCGGCAATTTTCAGATTTTTCAAAGCTTTCCACAATTTTTCAGGATTTTTCCAGAAACATATGTGAACGTACGACCAGAATGTAGTTCATTTACTGTTGACTTTCACCTAAAATAAACCATAATGAAGCAGAGAAAGATGAAATATTTCTTCTATGTTGGCTTCAAATTTTGCAGAGTCAGGAAATAAGTGAATGTCCTTTATAACTCCCACAAAGCATAACAACAATTAGGGGTGTGTTTCTAATTACCAAAGTGGATAAGAGAAGACAACTATTCCCAGACACAGTAAGTGTCAACAAAATACGATGCGCATGTCAGCTAAAGTGGAAGGTAGCTTCCCATCGTAATCAACAGTGGCAAGGAAAAGAGTACAGAAAAGAAAATGGTGATCAAAGGACCAAGTTGGGGAAATAATCATTCCATATCTATTTTCTACCAAGATGAGAAAAACACTGTGAGAGCAAATGCATAAATGGTCTCAAAGACATCAAAATCTGCTTTGGCATAATCATTCAAAACCATGACGCCAAGTTTTCATTCTGTAGTGGACTGATGAGCTTTATCTTCTAAGGTGGATGCAAAGAATGACTCACTCATAATTTAAAAATGTAATAATGAATCTGACATTACTCCACCCAGACCCATTTCTCAGATAACCACCAACCTGGGGCATTACCCACCTACAGAAGGAAAGCCAGCAAAGTTACTTACTAATTAGGAAAAATCACCCAATTACACTAACTTGCTGAGGCTGGCAAGCGATGTTTCACTTTATGTAGGCAGAATTTGATCCAGAACACCCTTGAGATTTCACTATAAAAAGGCAAAGAAAACAGTTGAGACAAGAAGCCATTCCAATCAGACCTTCACGAATACAGCACCACAACGTGCCTGTCCTGACACCATGTCTCTTCGACTTTCCAGTGGATCCAGGAGACCTGGTCCCCGACCCACCACAGGATCACTCAGGCTCTCCAGTGGGGGATCCAGCTTTGGCACTGGAAATGCTTGCGGCCTACCTGGGATTGGAAGTAGCTTTTCTTGTGCCTTTGGTGGCAGCTCATCGGGAGGAACCGTAGGAGGAAGCAATTCCTGTGCCAGCTTTACTATGAATGAAGGGGGCCTCCTTTCTGGCAATGAAAAGGTCACTATGCAGAACCTCAATGACCGCCTGGCGTCCTACCTGGACAACGTACGTGCTCTGGAGGAGGCAAATGCAGACCTAGAACAGAAGATCAAGGGATGGTATGAGAAATTTGGGCCTGGTTCCTGCCGTGGTCTCGATCATGACTACAGTCGGTATTTCCCAGTCATCGAAGATCTTAAAAATCAGGTGAGAGTTGATCCTCCACAGTTTTGTCTACATATATTCCTTTCTAAATATAGTCTTCCTTTCTTCACTACATTTGAAAAATACTTAATAATTCCACTTGTACTTCTTTAAAGGAAATTTCAGTTTAGCATTAGCAATAAGATTATGTAGACTCTGTTGGTTAAACCAGTTGCCGTAACCCATTTGATCTGACCCCATGTGTGTTAGAGAAGAACTGTGCTCTGTAGAGTTTCAATGACTGATTTTTCTAGAGTGCCAGGACTTTTGTCCAAGGTACCTCTCGGTGGACTCAAACCTCCAACCTTTCAGTTAACATCCAAGCATGTTCGCCATTTGTCTGGGAAGCAATGGGTAAGTGTGAACCACAAACCAACCTTGTGGTCCAGCACTTATCCTACTGCATCATACCAGGATTCTGATTACCTAGCAGTTATATTAATTTTATTATTTCAAGTTTCTAATTTAAAAAAAAAAAAAAACTTTTGATTTTTTTACTGGTTGAAATAAATCGCCTTGATCTGATTCTAGATCATCACCTCCACCGGCAGCAATGCTAATGCTGTCCTGCAGATCGACAACGCCAGGCTGACAGCTGATGACTTCAGACTCAAGTGAGTGGACTCGCAGAATGAGAATACTCCATGGTGATTGGTGTGAAACATTCCGATTTATTATTTGATCCATCTTTTAAAAATGAACAACTCTTACCCCAAAACTTCTGGTGTGGCACTGTGGATTACCACTGGGCTGCAACCCACAAGGTTGGCAGCTCAAAGCCACCAGCTACTCTTCAAAAACCCTATACAGGATGGCAATGAGTTAGAACTGACTCAATAGCTCTTAATAACAATCCCCAAACTTGGATTTAAAATAAACCACTTGGCTAAATAAACAACTATGCCTTTTTTATACTTGGTAATTAAATAAAAAGTGGGAACTGCTGGAAAACTGTTCACTAATTCCTTGGTTCTTTTTCTCTATCAAAGAAATAACTCATTATTTTTTTAAATGATAATTATATGATAAACTTTGAAAATCTCTCTTGTGGCTAGATCTGCCACTTTGGAATTCTAGAATTTTTACATTTGATCATTGATTTATTGAAGTTTTAAAACAGTTTTTTTTTTTTTTGTATGTGACTATTTCTTCAATGGTGTAATCAGTTAAAAAATTATTAATACTCTAAGGTATGAGAATGAGCTGGCTCTTCACCAGAGTGTAGAGGCTGATGTGAATGGATTGCGCAGAGTTCTGGATGAAATCACTCTGTGCAGAACAGACCTGGAGATTCAATATGAAACCCTGAGTGAGGAGATGACTTACCTGAAAAAGAACCATAAAGAGGTAAGCGATAGCACTGTCCATTTGGGTGCCCTCTCCAGATACTGTCTAAAGCCCCGCTGTCAGGCATGATGGTTGAGTTGTCTTTATTTTTGTTGTTAAGTACCGTTGAGTTGGTTCCGACTCATAGTGACCCTGTATAGGGTTCCAGAGACTTTAAATCATTGAAAGAACAGAAACCCTCACCTTTCTCCTGTGGAGTGGCTGGCAAACTCAGACTATGGATTTTGGGGTTCACAGTCCAGTGTTTGTCATAGAAGTAGAGAAATATTTGGGCAGAACCACGTTTGCTCTCCTATCAAGTTTCCCATGGGAAAAAAAGAAATCATACTTTGCAATCAGAATTATAAGAGCAATGTTTGACTATGTAATTAAAGACAAGTCAAAATATCCACTTAGGAGATTATATCTAATTAGATAAAATGCATATATTTTAAGGACATCCTAAGAAAACCAGATATGAATTCCTACCTAGCAATGACAGATTTAAAACACTGAAACATTTACCTAATTCACATAAGCAGTATCTATACTTAATATTAATGAGTATTCTTAAACAGTATAGCTACAAAAACTGTGAGACTGAAATTTAATGGTTATACCAGAATTTACACTTTCAGATAAATAATATACTTCCAAACGGACTACCATTCTAAACTAGATTCATAATCAGATGGTATAGCCACTCCTCCAATCACATCTTTGAATCTGTTTGTAAAAGAGAAGACAGCTTTATCCTTTGAAAATTAATTGAAATACTTATACAGCTGAAAGACTTCCACAGCCAAGCCAAATGCTTAAAGCAGGAAATCAAGCTAGAATGCTACTTGATTCGTTTTTATGAAGCTGTCTGGAAAACAACTTCTTGAAGAACAACTTATATATGAATGAATAATTCAAGCATGGTCCTGGCCTGTGGCGGTTACTCAATGAACTTTTGATGAATGAAATACCATTGGCATTTTTAATGCCTCACTTACCAGCAAACCCATATGTAACTTTTCATCTTTTTCTTTTTCTGCCTGAGCTGGGAGGCTTTCACTAAATCCTCAGAAGTCAAACACACATCTGGAGATGGAGAATGGCTAGAGAGGAGAGAATACTAGAACTCCCTGAAGGGTTTGATGCAGGGAGTAAAGTGAAGGGCCAGTTACCATCACTGAAGCACACCAGGGCCTTTTGGCAGCACTGGCAAATCGATCTGTGTTATTTCAACATCCACAGTCTCAGCAAAAGTGCTCACTGCCCTTTACACTCCTAGAAGAGACTCATTGCATATGCTTCACATGGAATAATGAGTTGTTGTTAAGTGCCATTGAGTTGGTTCCAACATTATAGTAACACTGTATAAGGTTTCTGAGGAACAACTGGTGGGTTTGAACCACCGACCTTGTGGTTAGCAGTCCAGCACTTATCCTACAAGGCCACAATAATGAGTTGTTGTTAAGTGCCATTGAGTTAGTTCTGACTGTTAGTAACCCTGTACAGGGTTTCCGAGGCTGTAAATCTTTATGGGAGCAGAAAGCCTTGTCTTTCTCCCTCAGAACAGCTGATAGTTTCCAACTGCTGACCCAGAGATTAGCAGCCGAACTCATAACCACTATGCTACCAGAGCTCCTTGAGAGAGAGCTAGGATTCTTAAAAAGACGATGGTCATCCCTTGGGAGTGAGCAGATAGGGTTATTTGTAATTATTTCAACTATTCATAATTCTTCAAAGTAGCTCAGCCTGCCAACAATATTCATGTTGTCTGTGTTTAGGATGTAATTGATTGAGAATCCATCAAAATGTATCTTTAGCTGTTGTTGTTGAGTGCCAACAAGTCAGTCCCAACTCATAGTGATCCTCTAGAGGGTTTCCAAAGCTTGTAGATCTTTGCGGGAGTAGAAAGCTTCATCTTTCTCCCATGGAGCAAATGGTGGGCTTGAACCACTGACCTTATGGTTAGCAGTCTAGTGCTTATCCTACAGAGCCACCGTACTCCCCAAAATGAATCTCTAAGTGTAATGAAAACCAGCCCACAAAGGTGGGCATAGTTGGGCTGCAAATGAACAGGATGACAGAATGGAGAATAAGTCATTTTAAGTACTATCATTTTCAAAGGAGTTTCTGGGTGGCACAAATGGCTAAGTGCTCAACTACTGGCTGAAAGGCTGCTGATTCAAACCCACAAAAGACCACAGCCTTGGAAACCCTGTGGAGCACGTCTGCTCTGAAAACAGGAAGTTACCGGGAGTCAGCATCAGCCGGACAGCAATTTAACAACAACATCATTTGGAACAAGTACTAAGAATGTTTCTGGGCAACAGAACTCAAACCAACAGATCGAAATTGCAGAGCAAGAGTTTTACTCACTGAAAGAAAGAGTTCTATAACAATTAAAACTCTAGAATGAAACAGGCTATCTTCTTAAGCTACAAAGACAACATCATTGAAAATGGTGTCATTGGCTGGAAATATATAACAGAGAGGGACTTCTTCACAACTTAGGAAGTAGAACCAGATGAACACTAAAAATCTTTCCAAAGCTAGACTTCTAGACTTTTGGTGTGATCCCCACATAACTAAGATGAACACATTTTTTCGCACGTAGGAAATGAAAGTTCTGCAGTGCGCAGCTGGCGGGAACGTGAACGTGGAGATGAACGCGGCACCGGGAGTGGACCTCACAGTTCTGCTGAACAACATGCGAGCTGAGTACGAAGACCTGGCAGAGCACAACCGCAGGGATGCTGAGGATTGGTTCAATGAAAAGGTAAGTGTAGCCCAGGAAACAATCCTCTTCAGTTTCAGTGATGTCCCCGAAACTAAAGTTAACTGCTTTGCTTGCATCATTTCAGAGTGCTTCTCTGCAACAGCAAATCTCTGAGGATGTTGGGGCTACAACCTCGGCCAGGAATGAGCTGACTGAAATGAAGCGCACTCTTCAGACATTGGAAATTGAACTTCAGTCTCTCTTAGCCACGGTATGACAAGGACAACTTCTTAACATCTCTTTATGACTGATGATTTTTAAATTGTGAAAATTTGTCCATGTATTTTTTTATGCAATTAAGACATAAGGAAAGAGCTGGCTTTTATATATAAAGCCTAAAACATCAATGTTGATCCTTAGGTCTAGTCTACCAAAAAGAAAAGATCTGCCCTTTCTTTTTCTGATTATGATGAAAATTACACAACAAAATATAAGCCAATTCAACAATTTCTACATTCATAATTCAATAACATTGATTACCTTCAAGTTGTGTAACCATTCTCGATATCTTTTTCCCAAATTGTCCTACCATCATTAGCATAAACTCAGTGTTTCCCTAAGCAAAAATTTCCTCATGCCTGCTTCCTCTCACCCCTAAGAAGATTAATAATCACTATTTAAGCAGGGTCATAAAGTTGCCTTAACTATACATCAATGTGAAATCTAAAGCAATTATAGACAAAATAAACAAAAGGGGAAACTCATACCAAAGCAGATGTCTACATTTCTGTAGGTCCATCTCAGGTTCCCCTTATTGTATCCACAGAAACATTCCCTGGAGTGTTCCTTGGCAGAGACCGAAGGCAACTACTGCTCCCAGCTCGCCCAGATCCAGACTCAGATCGGAGCCCTGGAAGAGCAGCTGCATCAGGTCAGAACTGAGACCGAGGGCCAGAAACTCGAGTACGAGCAGCTCCTCGACATCAAGGTCCATCTGGAGAAGGAGATCGAGACCTACTGCCTCCTCATAGGTGGAGATGATGGGTAGGTAAAACAACTGAATGGGAAGATGTCACATACTGAAATCTACATCTCTGGACAGTGAGCATGTGCTAATGTGACCATATTAACAGACGCTAAATGCAGATCACAGTACTCTACTTCCCAGAGAACAAACTGGGAACATCTTACAAAACCAAAATGTGGCAAGGCCAGTGTTCATGGTATAAAAAATTTTAAATACCCTCCTCTTGATGCTAAAGTAGAGCAGTTTCAACTGTGTGACTCTGGACTCCTTAAAGAGCTTATGAAAATGTAATTGTGAATCCAGACTCTAAGGGGCTCATGCTAAATCACTTTCTTTTATGATGTTCCAATAATATATGTTCACAGGGCTTGCAAGTCTGGAGGTTACAAATCTAAAGATTATGGATCTGGAAATGTGGGAATTCAACTGAGAGGTAACTAGAAAGAAATTCTGTTTTTATGCTATACTACTTCATTTTCACTGCCATTCTTCATTGTTTTTATAGTATTGTGACTTAGTAGGATAACAAAAATAAATATTTGTAGTAGAAATCTGTGTGCTAGATGTCTGACTTCAGTGATGTGTGCTAATTTTTTTAAATGCAATATGCCAACAGATTTTTAGTTAAACAAGAAATCAAAATTCACAAATAAGTGCTTGTATTTGTACTACTGCACAATAAATACAATGTTAAATATAAAATAATAAAAATGCTATAAATATGAAATAATAAAATCCTATTGCTCCTTTAATTGAGCTAATCTCTTCCTCATCTAAAATCTCCTTTGAAACCTTTACATTTAGATCCTCTCAAAGCCATAGTGGTTAAGAAAGTTCTTGAGGAGGTTGACCAACGAAGCAAAATCCTCACCACCAGGCTCCACTCCCTGGAAGAGAAATCTCAGAGCAACAACTAATCTGAAGAGTCACAGAGCGCAGACTCCACATGCCCTCAGAGAAGATCAGGCATGATAAATCCTCCTGGGAAAATGAGCAAGTCTAAGAGAAATGTCTATCCTGTTGTCTCCCTGTTAACTGAAATACAGTCTCTGTCTGGGCAATCAATAGCAGCATTTTCACATTCATCTGAAAGAGTCTTACATACAACTATGATGACTCACTTGATTACCCTTCAGAATTCCTTTATCATTTCTTTGTATTCAATAAACCTTCTTCCTTCAGCAAGTTATCACGGGTGTTACTGTCTTATCTTTAAAATGTACACATGTCTTTAGTACAAGTATATGTACAACTAGCTCTGTAGGATAAGCATTGGACTGCTAACCACAGGTCGGCAGTTCGAATCCACCAGCTGCTCCGCAGGAGACAGATGAAGGTTTCTGTTCCCACAGAGGTTTACAGCCTCGGAAACCCTGTACAGGGTTGCTATGAGCTGGAAATGACTCCACCGCACTTAAGGGGCAAAATGAAAGTGACTTACTTCAGCCACAATGAATCTATTTCAGGTATACTACAAGTCTGGTGTGGCTCTGTGGGCTAACGCATCAGACTGCAAAGTTGTTTGAACTTCAAGGTCAATTGTTCAAGCTTACCAGCTGCTCCTTGGAAGCCCTATACAGGGTCACTATGGGTCAGAATCAATTC